TTATCAACAATAAAAATCTTAAACTGAAGTATATAGAATTTATCGAAAAACTCGATCTTTTCGTAGAGGTTAACCCACACAATTCAACATAAATTATAATTTTTTTTATTTTAGTTTTAATGCATAGTTGCATTATACACTGACATAGTATGAAGATGAAAAAGGTTTGAGACCTTAAGTGTTCCCCTTTCTCAAGAAAAGAGAAATTTGATAGGGGTTAGTTCACTAACTAAGTGGTATATGAAATTAAATTAAATTATTCGTTACAAAATTAAAACTTATAGACATGTACCATGATAATATGTTTAGTATACATTAATATAAATTTATAGTGTCGTTAGATAATTTTAAAACAACACTATAGAAGTTAAAATCAAATATATATATATATAATAAGAAAATATGGTAATTTTTTTTATTCAAATATTAATTATGCATTGACATATCATAAACAATAAAGAAATTTGAGACCTCTATTGATCCCATTTGTTTTTTTTTTTAAATACAAATTTTACTGGGGATAATCCACTGAATTAAGTGGAATATGAAGTTTTAATAAATTATTCATTAAAATACTAGAAACAATATCCAAGTACCATAAAAAATTTTAACATACATAATAAAGCTTTATAATATTACTAGGTAATTTTTATCTACAATAAAAATCTTAAACTGAAGTATATAGAATTTATCGAAAAACTCGATCTTTTCGTAGAGGTTAACCCACACAATTCAAGATAAATTTGAAATTTTTTTGATTTTAGTTTTAATGCATAGTTGCATCATACACTGACATAGTATGAAGATGAAAAAGGTTTGAGACCTTAAGTGTTCCCCTTTCTCAAGAAAAGAGAAATTTGAGAGGGGTTTGTTCACTAACCAAGTGGTATATGAAATTAAATTAAATTATTCGTTACAAAGTTAAAAATTATAGACATTTACCATGATAATATGTTTAGTATACTTTAATATAAATTTATAGTGTGGTTAGATAATTTTAGAACAACACTATAGAAGCTAAAATCAAATATATATATATATATATATATAATAAGAAAATATGGTAATTTGTTTTATTGAAAAATTAATTATGCATTGAAATATCATAAACAATAAAGAAATTTGAGACCTCTATTGATCCCATTTGTTTTTTTTTTTAAATACAAATTTTATTGGGGATAATCTACTGAATTAAGTGGAATATGAAGTTTTAATAAATTATTCATTAAAATATTAGAAACAATCTCCAAGTACCATGAATGTTTTTAACATACATTAATAAAGAGTTATAATATTACTAGGTATTTTTTATCAACAATAAAAATCTTAAACTGAAGTATATAGAATTTATCAAAAAAACTCGATCTTTTCGTAGGGGTTAACCCACACAATTCAAGATAAATTTGAAATTTTTTTGATTTTAGTTTTAATGCATAGTTGCATCATACACTGACATAGTATGAAGATGAAAAAGGTTTGAGACCTTAAGTGCTCCCCTTTCTCAAGAAAAGAGAAATTTGATAGGGGTTAGTTCACTAACTAAGTGGTATATGAAATTAAATTAAATTATTCGTTACAAAATTAAAAATTATAGACATGTACCATGATAATATGTTTAGTATACATTAATATAAATTTATAGTGTGGTTAGATAATTTTAAAACAACACTATAGAAGCTAAAATCAAATATNAAAGAGAAATTTGATAGGGGTTAGTTCACTAACTAAGTGGTATATGAAATTAAATTAAATTATTCGTTACAAAATTAAAAATTATAGACATGTACCATGATAATATGTTTAGTATACATTAATATAAATTTATAGTGTGGTTAGATAATTTTAAAACAACACTATAGAAGCTAAAATCAAATATATATATATATATATAATAAGAAAATATGGTAATTTTTTATTCAAAAATTAATTATGAATTGACATATGATAAAGAATAAAGAAATTTGAGACCTTGATTGATCCCATTTTTTTTTTAAATACAAATTTTATTGGGGATAATCCACTGAATTAAGTGGAATATGAAGTTTTAATAAATTATTCATTAAAATATTAGAAACAATCTCCACGTACCATGAATGTTGTTAACATACATTAATAAAGATTTATAATATTACTAGGTATTTTTTATCAACAATAAAAATCTTAAACTGAAGTATATAGAATTTATAAAAAAAACTCGATCTTTTCGTAGGGGTTAACCCACACAATTCAAGATAAATTTGAAATTTTTTTGATTTTTTTTAATGCCTAGTTGCATCATACACTGACATAGTATGAAGATGAAAAAGGTTTGAGACCTTAAGTGTTCCCCTTTCTCAAATTTAGAGTGTAGTTAGATAATTTTAAAACAACACTATAGAAGCTAAAATCAAATATATATATATATATATAATAAGAAGAAAATATGATAATTTGTTTTATTCGAAAATTAATTATGCATTGACATATCATAAAGAATAAAGATATTTGAGACCTTTATTGATCCCCTTTTTTAAATACAAATTTTATTAGGGATAATCCACTGAATAAAGTGGAATATGAAGTTTTAATAAATTATTCATTAAAATACTAGAAACAATCTCCAAGTACCATGAATATTTTTAACATACATTAATAAAGATTTATAATATCAATAAGTATTTTTTATCAACAATAAAAATCTTAAACTGAAGTATATAGAATTTATCGAAAAACTCGATCTTTTCGTAAGGGTTAACCCACACAATTCAAGATAAATTTGAAATTTTTTTGATTTTTGTTTTGATGCATAGTTGCATCATACACTGACATAGTATGAATATGAAAAAGGTTTGATACCTTAAGTGTTCCCCTTTCTCAAGAAAAGAAAAATTTGATAGGGGTTAGTCCACTAACTAAGTGGTATATGAAGTTTAATTAAATTACACGTTGGAAAATTAAAAACTATAGATATGTTCCATGATAATATGCTTAGTATACATTAATATAAATTTAGAGTGTGGTTAGATAATTTTAAAACAACACTAAAGAAGCTAAAAACTAATATATATATATATATATATATATATATGTCATCTATTGAAAAATATTTTATCTTTTTGTAAGTTAAATAAGAAAATATGGTAATTTGTTTAATTCAAAAATTAATTATGCATTGACATATGATAAAGAATAATGAAATTTGAGACCTTGATTGATCCCGTTTCTTTTTTTTTAAATACAAATTTTATTGGGGATAATCCACTGAATTAAGTGGAATATGAAGTTTTAATAAATTATTCATTAAAATATTAGAAACAATCTCCAAGTACCATGAATGTTTTTAACGTACATTAATAAAGATTTGTAATATTACTAGGTATTTTTTATCAACAATAAAAATCTTAAACTGAAGTATATAGAATTGATCAAAAAACTCGATCTTTTTATAGGGGTTAACCCACACAATTCAAGATCGAAAAACTCGATCTTTTTATAGGGGTTAACCCACCACTTCACAGGATCCAAAGTGTTCCACCAGTGGTTTATTGAGATCATAAGGATGAAGTGAAGTGTCGTATCCCTCAATTGATTTCTGAAGGGTTCAGAATTGGTTTCTCAAAGATTTAGAATCGGTTTCTAAATTTCTGAAAGGTTCAAAATTGATTTATTAAATATTTTGAATATTTTTCTGAAGGGTTTTCAAAACCTTTTTAACAATGTTTCCGAGCCCTCCAAAAAATATTTTGAATCTTTAGTTTGTTAATCTATTAAAGTCTCACACGTCAAACTTTTACTAAAATCAATTACATATTCCATACTAATTTAGCCAGTTGAACCGTACAATAGAACTAGCATCACTGTAAAATTCTAAAGTGAAAATTTTGAGTTATCATGTTTATAAATCCTTCAAAATTATGAAACATTTTCTGAAGTGTTAGAAATTATTTTCTAAAGGGGTCATAAACATTTTTTGAAGAGTTCAGAATTGGTTTCTGAAGGGATCATAATTATTTTCTGAAGGGTTCAATTAAAATTGGTTTTCTAAGGGTTCATAATTGATTTATGAAGGTGTCAGAATATTTTTCTAAAGTGTTTTCGAACCCTGCAGAAAATGTTTCCGAGCCCTCTACAAAAATGTTTCTAAACCCTACAAAAAATGTGTCTCAATATTTCATGAGCAAACCATGGCTCATGAATATTCATAAATAGAAATATATCAATTCATGACATACTCCTCAAAATATTGAGAATAATGCAACTAAAAGGTTAAAACAAGATGTGAAAAGATGAAACATTTTTTAAAGGGTTCAAAATTATTTTCTGAAAGGGTCATAAATATTTTTTGAATGGTTCAGAAATGATTCCTCGAGGGTTCATAATTACTTTATGAAGAGATCAGAATTGGTTTCCGAAGGGTTCAAAATTGATTTATGAAGGGTTTTCGAAACCTTTAGACAATGTTGAGCCCTCCAAAATGTTTCGAAATTATTTTCTGAAGAGTCTGAAAGGTTCATAATTGGTTTCTGAAAAATACATAATTTATTTATGAAGGCTTCAGAATATATTTTTGAAGAGTTCATAATTGATTTATGAAGGTTTCATAGTATTTTTCTGAAGGTTTTTCGAACCTTGCAGAAATTGTTTCCGAGTCCTCAAGAAAAATGCTTTTAACCTCTTTAGAAAATGTGTCTCAGTATTTTATGAGCAAACTAGGGCTCATGAAAATTCATAAATAGCAATATATCAATTCATGACATATTGATCAAAATATTGAAAATCCTGCAACTAAAAGATTAAAACAAGATGTGAAAAGATGAAATATTTTCTGAAGGATTTGAAATTGTTTTTTAAAAGTATCGGAAACATTTTCTGAAGGGATCATAAACTTTTTCTGATGGAGCCATTTTTCTAGATCAATGTGTGAAAGAAAAGGAGTCATTTTGCTAGATCAATATGTGAAAGAAAAGGATCATAATGGTGATGTTCTTAAAGTGTGTACTTTTTGTTGATGGTGAAGCAAATGGCAATAAGAAACCTTATCCAACATTTTTATATCCATAAGATTAGCTCAAGTCTTAACATTCAATATTTCAAGAACATCAATAGACCTTTATATAGTCTCTAATATGAAAAACGAAAGTAACTTGTTACACTTAATTATTAAGATTATGCAGAGGAAACTCAGCATACTTAAGCCGTAGCAGCGCTGCACATAAGTGGACTGTTGCAGGCTATGCCACAGGACTGCCCACCCTTTGACAGGTACTGCTGATGATACTCCTCTGCTCTGTAGAATTTCTTAGCAGGTTGAATCTCAGTCGTTATTTTCCTCTCCATTTGTTGCTGGTGACGTTCCATTGACTCCACCGCTAGTTTCTCTTGCTCAGATGTGTAGAAGTATATACCTGATCTGTATTGGGTTCCCACATCTTTTCCCTGATCACACAGTTCAAGTCATTAGCTAAGGTAAACTACATAGATATGTTCATCATCAAATGTTACACATTCGATTTGATATTTTGCAAATGAATTGAATTGCTAACAGAATAAAATAAAAAGAAAAGTCTTGATTTTTTGTTATGTATTCAGTTTGAAGTTTTCAAAGAAGTTGTAACATTTTCACATCATTATCATGAAATCTTAGAATTACTTTTTTTAATTGGCTTGAAATCTTATAATTACAAATCAACAACACAAAAAAAAAGAGTTAAATCTTGGAATAAAGTTAAAGAGAAATCCAACAAAATCGTATAACGTACCTGGCGATTCAAGGTGGTGGGGTCATGCCTAGACCAGAAGACATCAAGCAGAGACTCGAAGTTGCACTCTTTGGGATCATACTGAACCCTGACAACCTCTGCATGGTTAGTTGTGTTCGTGCAGACATCCTCGTAAGAAGGATTGTGGAGGAGCCCTTGGGAGTATCCAACCTCCGTATGAGTCACACCGGGGACACTCTGAAACGCCAGCTCCACGCCCCAGAAGCATCCAGCGGCGAACTGTGCAAACACACTTCCCGGCGCCGGAGCGTCATTGTCGTTTGCCTGAGTGATTTGAGAAAGATTCATGGCGAAGTTTTCTAGAGAGAATTTTTTTTCTATAGAGATTTTTTTTTTCTAGAGACAATATTAGAGTGTTTGTATTTGCGTTCAGATGCACTCTATACATGAACTATATATACCACATGTATGGGTTAACCCTATAGTGTATATGCTATGTATATCCGTCCAGATACACGATCTATAAATACCAGATCTATATTTACTTCACATAAAAGATATATTAGAGTGCATATACTATGTATTTCCGTCCAGATACACTCCACGCATGAACTATAAATATCACGTGTTAGTTGGCGTTAAAGATAACGTGTATATCCTATATACTCCCGGCCAGGTACACTCCGCACATGAGCTTTTAATACCACCTGTCCACCTGTCAGACCTGTATTGTTAACGTTTAATGAACGTTGGAGTGTATGTACTATGTCTGTCCGTCCAGATACACTCCATACACATGAACTATAACGAGAGAGGTGCAGCGAAACGGAACACGGGTCTTGGTTTTACTGTTATTTTTTTTAGCTGTCTTCTTGACGCTTCGTTGGTTATTTCTCAATAAACAATGTTTTTTTATCAATAAACAAGGTTACAAACCTTTAGTTTAGTGTGTGAAGTGTCTTATAGATCTTAACGTTGATCTAAGCTCTACTTATGCAATGTCAGTGGAAGAAAGGGCGACAATGAGTTCAGAGAAACTGTTAGTTGCATTTGCGTTTTACTGTTAGTTGTGTTTGTGTTTTGGTAGCGATCTCGACAATGTTTTCGAGTCCTCCAAAATCTGAGCCCTCCAAAAAAAAACTAGGAAGCCTTAGCTTGTTAACCTATTAAAGTCTGACACGTGAAAACTTTTACTAAACTCATTTACACAATCCAGACCAAATTAGCCGATTGAACCGCACAATAGAAACGAGGTCACTGCAAAATTCTGAAGTGACAAATGTGAGTTGTCATGTTTATGAACCCATCAAAATTTATGAAATATGTTATGAAATGTTCATAATTATTTTCTGAAGAGGTTGAAACTATTTTTGAAGGGGTCAAAAACATTTTCTAAAGGGTTCATGATTAATTTCTGAAAGATTCATAATTAGTTTCTGAAGAGTTCATAACTGATTTATGAAGGTTTCATAATATTTTTTGAAGGATTCATAAATGATTTATGAAGGTTTTATAATATTTTTCTGAAGATTTTTTGAACCCTGCAAAAATCGTTTCCAAGCCATCCAAAAAAGATGTTTCTAACTTCTTCAGAAAATGTGTCTTAGTATTTCATGAGCAAACCATGGTTAACGAATATTCATAAATAGCAATATATCAATTCATGATATACTGATCAAAATTTTGAGAATTCTGCAATTAAAAGGTTAAAACAAGATGTGAAAATATGAAATATTTTCTGAAGAATTTGAAATTATTTTATAAAGGGATGAGAAACGGTTCAAAATTGATTTCTTGAGATATATGAGAAGGATCAGTTCCATGTGTATCTAATAACTTAAACTCTTCTTGGGCTATAGAAGGAGCCATTTTGCTAGATCAATATGTGAAAGAAAAGGATCAGAATGATGATGTTCTTAAAGTGTGTATTTTTGCTGATGGTGACGCAATGGCTATAAGAAACCTTATCCATCATTTTTATATCCATAAGATTCGCTCAAGTCTTAACATTCAATATTTCAAGAACATCAATAGACATTTATATAGTCTAACATAAAATCGAAAGTAACTTGTTACACTTATTAAGATTAAGCAAGGAAACTCAGCACTTTTAAGCCGTAGCTGCGCTGCACATGAGTGGACTGTTGCAGGCTATGCCACAGGACTGCCCACCCTTTGACAGGTACTGCTGATGATACTCCTCAGCTCTGTAGAATTTCTTAGCTGGTTGAATCTCAGTCGTTATCTTCCTCTCCATTTGTTGCTGGTGACGTTCCATTGATGCCGCCGCTAGTTTCTCCTGCTCAGATGTGTAGAAGTATATCCCTGATCTGTATTGGGTTCCAACATCTTTTCCCTGATCACACAGTTCAAGTCGTTAGCCAAGGTAAATTAACTACATAGACATGTTCATCATCAAATGTTACACATTTGATTTGGTATTGCAAATGCACTGAATAGCTAACAAAATAAAATAAAATAAAATGTCTTGATTTTTGTGATGTATTCAGTTTGAAGTTTTCAAAAAGTTGTATCATTTTCACATCATTATTATGAAATCTTAGAATTACTTTTTTTAATTGGCTTGAAATCTTACAATTACAAATCAATAACACAAAGGGACAAAGTTAAGAGAAATCCAACAAAATCTTATAACGTACCTGGCGGTTCAAGGTGGTGGGGTCATGCCTAGACCAGAAGACACCAAGCAGAGACTCGAAGTTGCACTCTTTGGGATCATACTGAACCCTAACAACCTCTGCATGGTTAGTTGTGTTCGTGCAGACATCCTCGTAAGAAGGATTGTGGAGGAGCCCTTGGGAGTATCCAACCTCCGTATGAGTCACACCGGGGACACTCTGAAACGCCAGCTCCACGCCCCAGAAGCATCCAGCGGCGAACTGTGCAAACTCATTTCCTGGCGCCGGAGCGTCATTGTCATTTCCCTGAGTGATAGCAGAAAGATTCATGGCGAAGTTTTCTGTAGAGAATATAATTTTTTTTTGCTTGAGAGATTTATTTGAGGTTATGTATTTGCGTTCAGATGCACTTCATACATGAACTATATATACCACCTGTATAGTAAACCGTAGAGTGTATATACTATATATGTACTTCCGTCCAGGTACACGATCTATAAATACCACGTGCATAGTTATCATAAAAGACAATATTAGAGTGTATACTATGTATTTCCGTCCAGATAAACTCTATACATGTCGGTAAATATCACGTGTTAGTTCACGTCAAAAGAACGTTAGAGTGTATATCCTATGTACTTCCGTCCAGATACATGACTATAATTACCACCTGTCATTTTAGGTGAAAGAATAATAACACCTGTATTTTTTTTTATAGGTGACAGAAAAAAAGAGAACATTAGAGTGTACTCCCTCCATTTCAAAAAAGCTTAACATTCTAGAAAAAATATTTGTTTCAAAATGATCATTTTTTTATATTTTCAATGTATGATTTAATGGTAAATTGTAGATTTCGAAAAAAAAATTCTACTTTTTGAAATTCTATTGGTTAAAAAATATAAAGAAATCTACAAAAATGATGCATTGGTAATGAAATTTTTTATATTTTTTTTTAACTATATGTAAAAAAGATAAAACATTCAATTTTTTGAAACAGAGGAAATATATATACTATGTCTGTCCGTCCAGATATACTCCATACGAGAGAGGTGCAAGGAAGCGGGTTAGTTAGAGCACCCATAATGGTGGTCTTTAAGAGGAATTCTTAGAGAAAAAAATTATTAAATAATAAATAGATCCTACAAAAAGTTAAGGATTCATTCTTAAAAATCTCTAAATAAGAACTATTTCTTAACGAATTCTTGCATTATTTGCGGACTCCCACGATACATGTCGACCCACAATTGTTTGGTATTTTTTTAATTTAGAAAAGAAAAAAATAACAATTAAAAAATTAAAAACTAAAGATTTCAGTAGATAACACCGTTGCGGATGTTCTTGTTGTTAACGTTTTTTTAACGTTAACTAACACTTGATATTTGCTGTTACTTGAGGTTTGGTAGCGTTCGTGATTAGAAACGGCGAGTTTGAATCGCAGTGGTCGCTAACTTGGAAGATGAAAAATTAAGGCCAACATGTAACATGTGTATGCTATTCGTTAAATCGAACCATATAAAGTTGAACCAAGAAGTTTAGGTCGAATCTAACCAATATATGTGTTAAGTATAATCTCAACTGATTTTATTATTGTTATCCAAATGAAAGAACAATAGCATGATACAAAAGTTAATACGCAACTGAATCGATCATGTACCGAGTTTTATATAATCGGAATGAAATTAGTTTTGTAAACCTAAACTAAATTGTTCATATATATAGATATTAAAGGATGAATTAAATATATATACTTTCTATCCGTTTCTTAAATATTTTTATCCAAAATCACACAAAGAATCGAACCACTAATATTTTTGGTTTGTATTTAGTCACAGAACCAAAATCAGAGAATATTTCAAAATACAAACCAAAAATCAAACCACTAACACTCTCTGATTTAAATGCGTACGAGAGTGAGTATTCGGTTATCCACTCACTCTCGTACACATTTAAATCAGAGAATATATATACATTACTGTATATGAAAACTCTTATACTATATGAAAACTCTTATATTTTAGTTGTTAATAAAATACAATATCAAGGGAAAGGTAAAAACCATCAAATATACAAAATACTTCATACTACCCCTCAAACCGCGGCCACCAACGTGGGCAGCTGAGCTAGCAACCCCGGTCGCAGGGTTATTCTTTTTAGAAGATGGCTCAAGAATTCCTGCGGGGGCGGCCCTTGGAGCTCCCACAGGGGCTGAAGATGGGCCATTGCCTTCGACATTGACTTGTAGCCTCATACCAGCGAAGCAGTGAAGCCGGTTACCACAGACAAAGAACCGGTCTCCCGGTTTGGACAGAGCAACGGTCGTGTTCCCATTTGTGAACGTACGGATAGGAACCGTAGTGTTGCAGCTTTGGAAGTTGTCTTTCGCCACTTCGTAGACACTATGCGTAGATGAGTATTGGAACACTGCGCAATTATAGATGGATCATATTCAAGCAATTCTAATTAGTCTTAAGTGTATTTACATACGTTTAAATCGATGAAATAGCAGTCATGAAACTATGAAAAGCAGATAAAATCATGTTGATCACTAACCATTGTTTCACAAAATACTAGTTTTTTGTGGATAAGGTGAAGTATTGGTTAATGCCTATATATTTTAAACGGTCGATGGAGGCATGTATTAAAATGTGTTTAGCTTCTTCTTTTTTTTTGTCACAAAAAATGTGTTTAGCTAATATGATACTTACTTAGGACATCACCAACAGAGAATCGCTTGCCTAAAGGCCAAGATTCAAGATCGGAGCTTATATCCCATCCGGACGTGTCTCCCACAAAGTAAGTCGTTGCGTTGCATCTTCTTATTACTAAAATACCAAAAATGATGCAGAGATTGAAAATAAATAGCTTCTTCGACGTCTTCTCCATAATTCACGCAACTGTAGATTTTCAATAATTAACTTGAGTTTCTGTTTTCCTATATTGTTGTATAGATGCATATATGTGTTCTGTAAATATATATATAATATATGTGTGTGTATGGATGGCATAGCTTAAGGTTGCTCATAGGTGGATAACCTAATATCACAACCACCAAAACATATAACATCTGTTTTTTGTTCCTTAGCCTTTGTTTTTTGCTTAATGAATTTTTCGTGTTTCATAATTCATAGGATTCTTGTGCTGTTAGGTAAAATCCACAACCCTAAATGGCTAAATATTCATGATGACATTGGACAAGTAGTTTTTTTTTTCATTCTCCAACCTATAATACATTCACAAATATTTGTACACGAACATTGGATAACAAAAACAAAATCAGTTAATGGTATTAACTAACAAGTGAAACTATTAGGTTAATTTAATTTACATATGTTTATTAACTACTAGTCTTCCATTCCAGTAAAATGTATGTTTTAAAATTTTCACAGACATATTAAATTTTTGATTATTAATGCATTATCATCTATAGTTAAATATTTTTAAATAATAGAATTTCACTTGACATCATTTTTATTTTTACATTTACAGTTTATCATTCATTAGTGTTATGAAAATGCAAAAAAAATATATATTTTAAAAAAAAATATTTTTCTTTGGAAACGGAGAGAGTATTATTTACTTATTCTCATCTTTCGAAAATACTTGCTTGGAATTGCACTTGGCAACGAAGGGGTGTTGAGCTTTCTTGCCTAATTGGACCAAACCCACCTAACATGCTAGCTTCCAGTGAATTTCCCTTGTAACTTCTTTTTAATTCTTTTTGGAATATTCATAAAATAAAATATATTTAACACAGTTAGACGCTCATATCCATTGTCTATATGTCTTATGTGGTTTTGAAAATCAAAAACAAAAATCGTATATTTGACAGAGTCATAGCTTGATCCAAATCACCGAAGCCATATAGGCTAAAAAATAGCACCAAATTACAAAATAAAATAAATTAGTAATGAATTATTTAAAAGTTCTTGACTAATTAAACATCAACACCTCTCAATGGTAGTCTTTTACATTTTAAGCTTGGTGGGCACAGAAACTGATTCGATCCTTAATTACTATACACAACCAGACTGAAGCAAACACAAAACATGTACCGATCCCCAAGCTGGAGCCGTGTGACTGAGGATTACTCAGTACCTTGGTCTGCGCCAAAGGGATTATGGAAAGGCCTAGACGAAGACGAGCCGACTACATACGATCCTACGAGCCAGGAGGTGACAAAGAAAGAGAAGTCACGAACCAAGTTTGCTGAAAACGCTGTTCACATAATCCCGTTTGTCCTTCTCGCTTGTGCTCTCGTCCTTTGGTTTTTCTCTAATTCAAGTATGTAAATATACATAATATTCATGATCTTAACTTGACTATATACTGGTTTGATTCTAAATATGTGAAAACATTCTAATTTAGGCTTTTATATGTTCAAGTCATTGATCCATTAATTCATGCATGGACTTTTAACAACAATAACAAAAAAAATTGGTTAATGATGATGATGATTATGTAGATATGGATGTTGGAATTAAAGAGGAATCGATTGCGGCTAGGATCAAAGGATTAACGATTGAAGGAGACATTGACATTTATTAAACAGATTCTTATTAATCTGATAAAGGAAAGAGTTTGTTACAGAGTAAGTTTATATACAGACCCGGATAAGCTAAAGGAACCTTAAACCGGTATAAACCACATTAAACCAATATATAATCTAATACCCCCCCGTCAAGTCTCTGAAACCGAAACAGCAGAAGGATCCGTTGGAGCTGAATCTTCAGAAGAAGCCAGAACAGAGTCCTTGTGAGGAAGGAAGAGACTTGAAAGAGACATTCGATCAAGAAGAGAGCAGAAAGGTCCAGTATGCAACGGTTTCGTGAAGATGTCAGCGTGTTGATTGTGACTCGAAACGTGCATTAAAGTGATGAAACCTCTCTTCACTTGATCTCGTACCGTATGACAGTCGATTTCCACATGTTTGGTTCGCTCGTGGAAGACTGGATTGGTGGCAATGTGCATAGCAGACTTGTTATCACAGAAGAGTTTAGCTTGAGAAGTTACTTGAATCCGGAGACTGGTAAGCAGTTGTTGTAGCCAAAGCAACTCACAGGTGGTATGTGCCATACTCCGATATTCAGCCTCAGTGCTGCTACGACTAACAACATCTTGCTTCTTAGATTTCCAAGTCACCAGAGAAGTACCAAGGTAAACACAATAGCCTGTGACCGAACGCCTTGTATCAGGACAAGTTGCCCAATTTGCGTCAGAGAAGGCATTAAGGCAAAGTGTAGATGAAGCAGAGTAGAACAAGCCTTGACCAGGACTGTTCTTGAGATAGCGTAAGATCCGATGTGCAGCAGTAAGATGAACATCAGTAGGACGAGACATGAACTGGCTCAGACAGTGAACGGCAAAAGTGATGTCTGGCCGTGTGATGGTAAGATAGAGAAGGCGACCAATTAAGGCACGATAAGCAGTTGGATCATCAAGTGGTGTACCAGAAGTCTGACTGAGCTTCACCAAAGGATCCATTGGTATTGGACTTGGTTTGCAAGCAAGAAGACCTGCATCAGACAACAGACTCAAGGCATACTTTCGTTGAGAAATAGATATACCAGTAGTGTTGCGCGCAATCTCAAGACCAAGAAAGAACCGTAACTCCCCCAAGTCTTTGATCTTGAAATGTTGATGAAGAGTGGTCTTGAGAAGTTGTATGGCTATCTCATCATTCCCAACAATCATAATATCGTCAACGTAGACTAAAGCAGCAACAAAACTGGTTCCCGTTTGTTGGACAAACAAGGTATTGTCAGCAGGAGACTGAGCAAAGCCAGCAGAGATGAACACTGCAGAGAGACAATTATACCATTGACGAGACGCATGTTTCAAACCATAGAGGGATTTATGGAGGCGACAAACCGGATTGGGTGGTAAGAAACCAGAGGCAGGAACATATCCTTGAGGAAGACTCATATAAATCTCCTCATCAAGATCACTATGCAAAAACGCATTAGAGACGTCCATTTGAGACATACTCCATCCTTGGATCGCAGCAAGAGCCAATAATAGTTTCACACTAGCAAGTTTAGCCACTGGAGAGAAAGTATCAGTGAAATCAACTCCTTCTTGCTGAGTAAAACCTTTGGCAACAAGACGAGCTTTATAACGCTCTATCGTGCCATCAGCCCTATACTTGATCGTATAAACCCACTTACAACCAACAACGTTCTTCCCTGGAGGAAGAGATTCAACAGTCCAGGTATTATTAGCTTCCATAGCCTGCAATTCCTCATTAGTAGCTTTCCTAAAATGAGGTGATAACATGGCTTGTTTAAAAGAAGTAGGTTCAGTTTCAAGAGAGTATTGAAGGATATATGATTGATAAAGGGGTGTAAAAGCAGAGTACGAAATAACAGAGGATAAAGGATAAGGAGTGGAAGAAGGAAGTAAAGGGGAAATAGAATTTGAATCAAAAGTGGAAGAAGGTAAAATAGAGGAACGTGCAAGAGCACAATGATACTGAGATAAGTAACCTGGAGGTTTGACAGTGCGCTTAGGTCTCCCAATCAAATGACCCTGACCTGTACTGAGTGGAACAGTCTCTACTACCGCAGGATTAGGTATAGAGTGAGAAGTATGAGTTTCTAAATGCACAGATTCAGGAGAACTATCAATAACAGCAGGAATAGGCAAAGGTAAGATTGTGTTGTCAAAAATATCAGAGGTAATAGAAGCATCAGACGTTTTATCATTGGTAAAAGGAAAAACATCTTCATGAAAAATGACATTGCGTGTTATAGAAATCTTATTTGTATCTAAGTGAAGAACTTTATAGCCTTTATAACCAGATGGATATCCCAAAAAGACACAAGCATCAGCTCTAGCAGTGAATTTATTTCTATCCTTAGGTAAAGTAGAAACATAACAAAGGCAACCAAAACTTCTCAAGAATGAGTAATGAGGGACTTTCTTTGTTAGGAGTTCATAAGGAGTTTTGTTACCCAAGAGAATAGAAGGAATTCGATTTATGAGAAACACAGCAGTAGAAACACAATCAGACCAGTAAGGCAATGGAACATTTGATTGAAAGAGCAATGCACGAGCAACGTTTAAAATGTGTTGGTGTTTCCTTTCAACAACAGAGTTTTGTTGAGGTGTGTATGCACAAGAAAATTGATGAATCATGCCATGTTGCTTAACAAGTTGAGTAAATGCAAGTTCAGGAGCATTATCACTACGGATCACTTTAATATCATACTTGTATTGAGTATTAACATGATTAATGAACTCTGGAAAAACTTGTAAAACATCATTTTTATTACGAAGCATGTAAACCCAAGTAACCCGAGTACAATCATCAACTATTGTAAGGAAATACCTATAACCTTCAACAGATTCAACTGAAAAAGGACCCCAAACATCTAAATGAATCAAATCAAATGGTGAAACAGACACATTATTATGAGACTCAAAAGACAAGCGCTTTTGTTTAGCTAAAGGACAAACAGGACAATGTTCAGACCTATGAAGACTAGACGCAGGAAGATGCAATGTACCAGTAAGCTGCTTTAACTTGGAAGCTGATGGATGTCCAAGGCGTTGGTGCCAAAGAGTCCCATCGACTTGCAAGGATCCACAAAACGGCAAAGAAGTAGAACTAGTATGCTCAAGAACGTAAAGGTTATGAAGAAGAGTCCCTCTACCAATCATCAATCCCTGAATACACTCCTGTAATAAGCAGAAATCAGGATAAAAGTGAGCAGATAGTTGACTATCACGAAGAAGACTGCAAACACTTATCAAATTGAACTTGAAAGAAGGAACATGAAGCACATTATACAAGATTATACTATCAGAAAGATGCACAGTTCCTATATGAGATATATGTTCATTAAGTCCATTTGGTAGAGAGACCGTGACACCAATAACAGGTGTAGTATCACGAAAAAGGGAAAGATCTGAGCACACATGTGTAGTAGCTCCACTGTCAATTATCCAAGCATCATTAGGAATAGAAACGGATAAAGAGGAAAGACATTGATTTTGAAAAGTGAGAATATTATGTTGAAATTTGAGGCTAGTAGAAGGAAATGGTATTATACCAGATGTGGATTGAGGAGCCATGTAACCACTCTCATTTATAGTAGACTGCTTACTCGAAATTGCATTCACAGAAGGAGTAACAAAGGCCTGAAGCTGTTGAAGGAGAAACTGCAAATGAGCAGGATCCATTTGTCCAGGAGCAGAAGTCTGATCATTAGTCTGAGCAACAGCATTAGCTTTGTTAGGTTGTTGAAACTGAGCATAAGAAGGTTGCTGTTGAACAGGGCGTGAGTTATGAGCTAGCTGTCCCCGAGGTGCATAACCAGAACCAAAAGATCCAGCTGGAGTCTGAGAAGTAGACTTATTGAACTTATGACCAGGAGGATAGCCATGGAGCTTGAAACACTTGTTAACGACATGTCCAAGTTGTCCACAATAAGTACACAGAGGACGCTGCTTGGGACGATAACCAGCATTAGTGTGAGCAGCAGCAAAAGCAGAGTGATCAGTGATAGGATCAGCAACAGAAGTATCATTAGGTGCAGAGGTTTGAAACACAACGTTTGATGATGTAGAAGATGGCCTAATTGACTTTTGCCTTTCATCCTGAATCACCAAATTAAACACCTCCTCAATGGTTGGAATGGGTTTAAGCATCAGAATATGACGCCTTGTTGGTTCAAAAGACTCATTAAGCCCCATAAGAAACTTAGTAATCCTGCTTCGCTGTTGAAGTTGTGCCCATAAACCTGCTGCATCACACTCACAACGACCACAAGAATCAGGAACTTCAATATAGTTCTTGTGTTCTTCCCAGAGAGTAACCAAAGCCGTATAATAGGCATTCACATCCATTGAACCTTGCTGAAGAGAACTCAATTGTTGCTCTATCTCGTATATACGAGGCGCATCATTTTGATTAAAACGAGATAAGATGTTCTTCCAAATAGCTTCAGCAGTTGTCAAGAACAATAAACTTTGACCTATCTTCTTGGAAACAGAGTTCAAAAGCCACGTAGCTACCATATCATTACAGCGTGACCAAGATCCAGAATCACGATGATCGGAGGGAGGTTTAGGAATCGTACCATCGATGAATCCAAGTTTGTTACGGACGTTGAGAGCCATCCGAACTGAGCGACGCCACGAGTGAAACTCTGCGCCAGAAGAGAGACGATCTGCAACAAGAGCAAGTCCAGCGTGATCGGAATGATGGAGATGATAAGGATTCGCGTATTGATCCAAGTACGGAGACGGATTGGTGGTGGAGGAGCTCATGATGATGAAATTGATGGCGAAAAGAACGAAGAAACGGTGTAAAGAACGCGAACAAGATGAAGAATGAAGACGACGCCGCGAGGCGGAGATCCGTTAGACGACGGAGAGCAAGAAAGCGGAAAAGAAGTAGGCTGAAACGACGAGCTCAATCACAAAGTTAATCAAATCTTCGAGAAAAATCTGGAGAATCGAAGAACTCATGATGAAGATCGAGGAATCGTCACAGGCTCAGCTCTGATACCATATTAAACAGATTCTTATTAATCTGATAAAGGAAAGAGTTTGTTACAGAGTAAGTTTATATACAGACCCGGATAAGCTAAAGGAACCTTAAACCGGTATAAACCACATTAAACCAATATATAATCTAATAACATTGACAGCGACGGAACTCAGACCGGATTCTTAGGCTCCGCCACAGAAGTGGGAGGTTCATACAAGTCGAAGCTAAAACGCGACGTCAATAAGCATCATCGGAGGATACAAACTTCAAGGAAAGTGGTTAACGGGTTTTATTAGTTTTTTTTTTGTTTAGTTAAAAAGGAGTTCTGTATATTAGGTAACACTCGAATCGATTTTTATTTATTATTTATTTTCCTGCATTTTGATTGAGATGTGTTACTTTTGGTTACGTTTTTGTTATAATCAGTCGAGTAGTTGATACAAGACCAAAATGAGGGATGGTAGATCTTTACATAATAATGACATGTATGGCAAATCCAGTTTTGTTGATTACTAGTAATGTCGCAAAAAGAGTCAACTATTCCCGAAACATGACATGTTTTGAGCCTTCTTTGTTTCTTGACTGTGGTTGTAGAGCTCAAACATGACAAGCTTACAAATTACAATTAATGTCCTACGGTTACAAATTACAACTAATATATAGGCGGGTCTAATACATATATATACTGATAGACTTAATAAGAGAAATGTAACCAATGTTATATTAGTCGGTTATTTGTTTCTAAACAAAAAATATAATTCTCGTAGAAAATGGAATACTATAGATAGATGAATGTTTCACTTAAAACTATATGTGTATATTTTTGTTATATTTTGTATGCGTATATCAGCCGGTCATTATTTTCTTGTTGCTCTAAGTATTCTTCCCTATTACTTTCTGTGTTTCATTTCAAATGTCATTATAGAAGAATTTTTTGTCATGAAATAAGTAGTTTTAAGATTTATGGCAATTTATATCATTAACTTATCTCTTTTACCATTAAATTTGTTTGGAAAAAAAAATCAATAGCATCAAAATAGTTAAATAAGAATAAAATTGAACATGTAGCCATTTTAATAATTGGCCTGAATAATCCTAGAACGAGAACTAATTTGAAAAGGATGGGGCATTAGGTATCAGAAGCTAACTGGACTGCATATATAATTTGTTACCACGTTATATTAATTTTATCTTCAATAAACATTGTACAATGATTGTCTTTTACCTTTTCTTTTAAAATAATAAGCACTTTCAACATTACATTAAATGTTTTGAAAGGCCTTTTATTCTTATAGGTGGCGTAAAATTCATGAATAATAGACAACGTATTCTAGATATCGGAATAGATGGACCTATATGGCCTTCGATCTTAACTTTCATTCATCATCAGATGAACCTTTACCCCCTTTGGATTCTTATTCTTCGTCTCTATCTTTACGTTTGGATTTACCTTTTTTACCCTTGGATTTACCTTTACCCTTTCCATGTTTGGACTTACCTTTTTTACCTTTGGATTTTTTGTCATGTTTGGACTTACCTTTTTTACCTTTCGATTTCTTTCCTACTCCTGGTAGACTAGGCAACCTACCTAGCAGCTTGCTCTTAATAAAGTTTGGCATTTCCAACAGGGATAGGAAGAAAGATGGCTGAGCTGCCAGAGCTTCAGCTCCTCCAGGATGCCTACATCACACAGACAAGAGTGTGTATATACGTATACGTTAGAAATTAGTTGAAAAATAACTTCCTATCATACTACTATTTATTTATTTTGTACCAGTACTCTTAATTATTACGTTGACATTTTTTTTAGAAAACAGAAAATATATGCCTAGTAATTAAGTTAAATTATCTTACGAAAATAATACGGTGAGGTTTAACTAATTAAGGCAAAAAAAAATGATAAGGTGGCATGTAAATAACGTTACAAGAAAAAAGGGGAATGAATCAAGTTGCTTTTTCAAAAAAAAAAAAAAAAAAGTTAGTAATATATATATGGGCAATTTATAAGGATTTCGGACTCAAGTACGTATGTGAATAAATATATAAGCATCAATCTCGAGTGCATATTTTCAATATAATTTGTTTAATTTTACTTAATGAGCCGCATGAGGAGACCCAACGCCGTCACTCCGAGGGTGGTACCAGCGCCGAGCCCAGTAGCTAGGAGAGTCGTGGCTATAGTGGCGGGTACGAGAATGGGACTGAATATGATGAAAAGCGGCGTAGATACGACTAATGCCACGGCTGTACCAGCGAGTGTTACACAGGCCAAGCCGAGAAAGACTATGGAGGAAACGGAAGCCATAACCACCTTGATAACCTCGAACACTGGGATGAGAAAAGAAAACATTCTTCCTTCTCTCTGTGACTCTGTCTGAGCTAATTCGTTTTGAATTTCTTCCTTCATATTTTGTTATGGTTTGGTGATCGGAAGAGAGAAGGCTTTTATGGAGTTGTGTGGATTACGGCGTGCACGGTACATCATGCCCCATGCAAAACGACTGGACTATATAATCCACGTTACGTTACGTCAGGTCACATAATGCTTCTTTTTTTTTTTTGAATATGTCACATAATGCTTCTTTTTGTCATGTTTTTGGGACCTTTGCTTTCTTGTAAAATCTTAACTGTTTTTCTTTGTTCCGCTTATGAAATGTCAAAGCGTGAAGAAAGATTTGTCTTATAAGCCATATGCAATTACTGAATTAAATGAGTAAAAATTGATTACTTTATTTACGGATTGCCGATGAAATCATTCTATTTACCTTAGAATTACTATGATTAGACGTCGCTGACAATGGTAATTTGTTCGACGATGTAATAACATTTGTTTACTAATTTATGAACTAACAATTTTTTTAGTAAAAATGATGGAATAATTATCTATATTGACCTTGTATTTGACCTTAAAGCCTAGCATGAGTCGTAAAACCAAATTTTAGAGTGATATTATAGATAAATGACTCGAGCAGTTATGATTCTTTTAAACAATCGAACTATCGTGTGAGATGTGAGCGTTCATGGTCAAAGATGATGAAGGTCTTGATCAGAGGGCAGTGGTGGAACCAGAAATATTTCATACTGTGGTCGAAAAAATCTAAGATCATGTCCATCGAGGGATATTGCTCAAGGTTCACACACGTCCAAAAAAAAATTATATTCTAATTTAGTGATACTGTTTCGCAGGAGTCTTTCGTTGTGAACCTGTATCATAACTGTTTCGCTGGCTCCATGCCACGTGGCGATCCGCGATTAGTTTGATTATTTTTTTATTCTTTTTATTTTTTATTTTTAAATCAAACAAAAAAAATACAAAACCTATATTGGGATCGAACCCCACCGAATTCACTAATGGGGATGGCCTAATAAAAATAAATTTTCATTTTTAGTGGAGTCAATACAATTTTTCTTAACTAAAAGAAAATATTTTACAATTTTTCTTAAGTAAAAAAAAATATTTAAGAAAAAAATAGTGGGGTCAGCTGACACGACCCTGTCAAAGTCACTCAAAGGGAGAGTAACGGAACTGCGCATGACCCGATTGATTCGACTGGTGCACCCTCGTATTTTCCTGCTTCCAGATGGCCTATATACACATATATATATATAGATAACAGAGTTTATCATAGTAATTCAAAGAAATATTATTAGCATCGATAAAACGTCTCTGAACGAAAGATATATGTTTTTGGGGGGTGTGTGTTGGTCTAGTCTATGTCTAAGCTGACCAAGATGGCTTTGGGATTGTTTCGGGAACAAGAATGTGAGCTCGAGTTTGCGTTATTCCTTTTTTTTTTTGCTTAAACGTTATTCCCTTATTACAATTTTTGCTTATAAAAAATTCAATAATACAATATTAAGCTAATTTTAGGAGTAAATGTGTTCTATCAATGTTCAGCTAATTTTGAATGAGCGCAAAGTTATTGTCGTTTTCCAAATTAAAATACATTAAACGGCATGTTTCTCGGTTTATCCGCAAATCACAATTACTACAATCCAAGAGAATCAGAAGAATCTCAATCAAGCATCATGCATGTTAGGCTGAATCTCAATCTAGTAATTTGGTCTTTGTTTGATTCTCTAACTTCCTTTTTATAATTTTAATTTGGGGGTCGTTTACAATACCTCTGGTTCTTGTAGCTATAAAGAGTCGGAAGAAACTATATAGCTCATACGTTAGTAACAAGCATACTTGGCCAGTTTATCTGCGGCATAATTGATTTATTTGAATTGACTCAATAATACAACTCGCAAATAATCTCATACATGGTAATCTCAACGATATCACTTAACTCTTTAAAATATACACCACGATCGAGTATACTTTTTGTAATTTCCTAACACGATATACATCAAGAGAACAGTATCTGAAACATCCGCATATAATAAATATTTAATTAGAGAGACTATGGATAAACTTTGGTTTTATATAAGTAACCTCAAATAACTAAACATCATCAAGTTCCTCCATATATCATCCCACATTACGAAAAGCCCTACTAATCCTTTTTCTTTTCCTTTTTCTTATCCTCCTTCTTTCCCCCTTCCGTAGTTGGATTTTTAGGGGTAATACCTGGAATTTTTGGTGGGTTCTTCCCCGTTATTTTCCTGCACGCAGTTAAATATTATTACGTTCAGAAACTAATGTAAAAAAAACTTGTAGCAGGCAACAACTATTACAGTCGCTGACACGGTACCAATGTATATATGTATCCACTTCAACATATGACCAAATAAGCCCAGAAACTCGGGTCAGGAACGAAGCTTCCATCACTATTACCACGAGCGTCTAATGTTGGCTATGGAGTATTTAATCAAGATTGTTTTTTTATTAGTTACTTAAAATGGCACATGATAGGATGGTAAGGTGCAGATAGAAAACTACGTTGAAACTCGTTGATGTAAATAATAGTTATAGCCAAGCATAAGAATTAGTTTCCACGTAGATGCCTATGCTTAACGCCTCATGTAACTATATATAGACCAAAGTGTGAGTGATTTTCAGTGAAGTTTTTGTTTAATTTACTTGAAGAGCCACATGAAGACTGTGATAGCCATGGCACCGATGGAGCCGGAGGCCGTGAAACCCGTAGCTAGAAAAGTTGTGGCTATAGCTGCTGGCACGAGAATCGGACTGAAAATGATAAAAAGCGGCGTGGTTACGGCTAATGCCACGGCTGAGCCGCCAAGGGTTATACCGGCGAGTACCAAGAGAGTTAATGCAGCCCAAGCGGTGATAACCGCCTGAATAATCGCAAACATCTTTTGATAAACGGCGGAGATTTGTGATTGAATGGTTGTGGTTTGTTGGTGTGAAGAGAAGGGGATTTTATGAACTTTGTGGAAGTCTACGTGCACGGTACGGTACACATTCATGCTTACATGCAAAACGTAGTGAGTACTAATGGAGACGCGTTACGTCACGCCACATTTATTATACGTTTTAATCTGTTGGTGTGTTATATGATCATGTTTATTTGACCTTCTCCTTGTTTTCTTTTATTGCTTATACAACAAAGAAATATACAAATTCATAGTGGCTTAATGTTTGAATGATATATTTTATGGTTGGAAGCTAGAATTTGAGTCCTAGTCGAACGAAAACATCATAAGCACCTTTCATATAAGTACCGAATAATAGTATGAATTTGGTATTTAATCCCAAGATCTTCCGTTAACTAAGAAAAAAAGTAAGAAGAGAATTAGATAGGGTTTGTAAAGTAGTCCGCAACTATTTCCTTTTTACAACAAAAAGTATACTACAACAGAAATATAAAATCTTTGTAATAAGTACTAAATTCTTATCCCTAGACATATTCCACTATCCAAGAGATGTTTAATAATTTTAATTTGAAAAATAAAGTTATGTCAGTTAGTAGATTAATTGGAAAAGAATGTATATGATTTTTTTTTTTTGTCACAGAGAATGTATATGATATTATTTAGTTATTCTACCTTTTTTAAAAGAAAAAGATCGTAGCGCTAGTTCTTTCAAATGTTGTTGAGGCTCAGCACAACATTTGTGTTAGTTATACATATTTTTGTCCGCGTTGCCCAAGGGCGGAGGCTGCTAAACCCGTAACCAACAAAGTAGCGGTAATACACGTTGATACTAGAACTGAACTGAATATAAGAAATAGCGGCATGGTGGCCGTCAATGCCATGGCTGTGCGATCAACAGGATTATATAGCACAAGCACTTTGAACGTCGTCCTTGGGTGACGTCTCACGGGTATCTGCTTCTTGTAAAACAACAACTTCAATGGCCGTAAGAGAACGAGCAAAATTATCTGATCAGCTAAGATGTTGTATTAAAATGAGCCACAGCTAAAGTAGGGTCTGATTGATGTAATCGTAGCGGTTGTGGTTGCAGTTACATGAATTTACGGAAACATGTGATTGCGGTAAGTGTTATTAAGATATTTGGATGATTGGTGCAATGGTTAAAAATTGTTGCGTTTGAGAAATGTTTATGATTAGTTAACTATCAAATGCAACAATGATTGAATAACATATTAATATTATTTACGTTTTATATAATTATCCAATATTAAAATCATATTTTTATATTAAATATAAAAATTATATTGATAAATTAAACTATTAATTTAAAAATATACAATTTTTTATAATTTTTTATAATATAAATTAAAATATAATATAAATATTTTGGCATTTCTATTATTTTAATTTAAAATTTTACCTGAATATTTTATTTTTATATTTACATTTTTTTATCTTCTCGCTACCGTCTACAACCGTAAATGCTAATGGAACCATTTTTGAATTATAAAGTTTAAAACATTTTGAAATGGTTTATAGCATTTTGTGATTGTTGCAAAACATCAACATTATTATTAACCGTAAAAAATGCGTTTGCGGGTGATGCGGATAAACCAATCAAACCCTTGTAACTTCTAATGGTTCCTTGAGGCCTTTAGATTGTCTCATTTGATAGCTTGGTAAAAACAAGAACTTGAATGATAGAGTTGATAAATACATTGCGCTAAATCTCTCTCTCTCTCTCTCTCTCTCTCTCTCTATATATATATATATATATATATATTTAAATCTCAAAATATTGATCTAAATGTAAAATTCAATGACATTATTTATTGCGTTTCAAAATGCTATACTATTAGATATCATATACAATACTTGTATTGTTTTAGAGAGTCGAGTATAGCCGTAGATAATAAAATGAATACATTTGTCATTGTTGAGTACCACGATATACATAAGATGCTATTTGCAAACTTTAGTTCCATCCCCACGTAATATTACTAAACAAAGTTGGGTTAACTAGATTTTATTTGTGAAATTATAATAACTGTAAAACATTTTCTTGCATATCATCCTTTGTCTATGCGCACGGCTTCTTTTCATTAACTCAGTGGACTCACGGCCGCCTTGAGAACCTGAAAAAAAAAAAACAAAAATTAAGAACCATTATCTTTAAAATAAATATATAAAAACATATTTAAATATATAAATATTAAACTACCAATAAAACAAATTATTGAGAATATCATTAAAAATGTGTTTACACCTTAAGTAAAGAAAACGCTTAAAACTTAAAAATACATTGGTCAAAAACGTGTGAAACACGTTGGTCAATAAAATGTTATTTTATTTTAATTTATATTTTACTTGATTGGACTCTTTATCTGGCCCAAACCATAAATTTTGTATCTTTATCAAAAATTAGATTACATGCTATATAAATATTTGAGTTTCTGTTTTATATAGCCTACAAAATTTTGAAGTCACAGAACACCTGTAGCTAGCGTTAACCCGGTGTTTTTGGCAGCTCCTTAAACGTTAATTTCCTACACATAATCGAGTAAGTCTGGTTATCAAAGATATATTGTGGTATCAGTTCATAATAGTTACGGCTCAAAACTGTTCACTAGCAAGCAACTTTATAATTTTTCTGTAACGTTGTACGTCATATACAAAACCGCAGTCAAGAGGACCGATTGAAACGAAAAAAAAATGTTATCCTGTACACCTAAAACAAATATTTGAGCCTATCTGAATTATTGAACATGAAATCATATGTCATGATAAGATATATAGCGATATTTAATATAATTTCTATTTACATGAATTATATGATCAGATTGAAATTTATAAACTAATGAAAATATTATGATCTAATTATTCTGAACGAGAAAATCATCTAGTTTAAAAAATAGGATTCATTCAAAATCATTAACTTTGCGTTAATTAATCTGGTATTCTCTCACCTATATTAAATTTGTATAAAAATAGTAAAATCTTCCATTAGCTAGTGTAACGAATTTTCTAAAATGTTTTGCACGCCTAAATGATAATATATAGTATTTTTGTTAGTGTTAAATACTTGTAGAGCCACGAGATGATGCTGAGAGCCGACAAACCGGCACCGCCTCCGGTGGCTAAACCCGTAAACAGCAAACCAGTGGTAATACCAGCTGGTACGATAAGCGGACTGAATACGACGAATAGCGGCATAGTGGCGATAAATGCCACGGCTGTGCCAGAGAGGGATAAACCGGCGAGAATCAAGAGGAATACTGCAGCATGTGTAGCTAAAATCGCCGTTAAGATACCCCTGAACGTTGGCTTTGAATGTTTCGGGTGTTTTTTCTTGAATATCCCCATTCTCACTAGTTTGAAATGGCTAGAAGAGATGTAACCTGCTTCTTTGGTCCTAATGGTTGTAGGAATTTATGAAGAATCTGGGATTCATATGTATAGAAAGTGGTGTGGTGTACGTGCACGGTACATGCTCATCCCACACGAGAGAAACGATGTAGGTGATGAACGTTGAGCTCTACGTTACGTCAATGCCTTTTCTTTCCATTTGTTCTTGTTGTTGGGTTGTCACACATTTTGCCTCTTTTTTTTTTTTCTTGTAGTTAGTGTTCTAAAATACATTTTATTTTATGCTAGTCGGACGGTCAACTACCATATAATTGTGTTTGGTCTAAATATAGTTGGTTTGGTTTGTTTTTTCTCGAATTAGGTTTAAGTTGGGACCTTTGATAGAGTCTACGTACTCTGAATATTTAATGCGTTTTGATTGTTTTGTATTTCACTTTTTCTGATTAAAAATATACCCCCTCCGTTCCTTAAAGATACATATTCTAGAAAAAAAAATTTGTTTCTAAAAGATCTATTTTTTACATTTTCAATGTATGTTTTATTAAATAATTGTAAACTTCAAAAAACTTAATTGCACTAATTGATTTTTGATTGGTTTAAAATTATGGAAAGAAAATAAATACAAAAAACTATGCAAATTTATTGTGTTTTATTAAAAAATTTAAAAAATATTAGAATATGGATCTTTTAGGAACAGAGGAAGTATATTTCATCGGACATAAATTAATGATGGATAAACTTGCATGAATGCCACAAACGTGTACTATAAACTAGCGTATGAAACACCAGCAGCAGTACTTTCATCGATCTTGCAAGTCCATTCTGGTTGTGTTAATGACCAGGCTTAGATCATTGGTTTTTTGTGGAGGCCACAGAGGAGTCAAGTGCCCATTAATTCTATGTAGCTTAATTTATCTAAGCAAGAAAACAACTGAACAACCGGCATTATAATCACATTCATTACATATTCATAAGATCCAAAAAGGCACTTCAACTATCTCTCAGGTTCCACTTTCTAAACATAAGCAGAATCAAATCGTTTATACCTACAAGATCTACTTAGAGCACAATTATCGCATGGTTTTAGAAGAGTTTTTACCCAAAAAACAGAGCATGGACCACAACAAAAAGAAGAAACAAGTTGCATAAGTCGCAGAGAAGAAACGTTTGTTCATGATTTTTTGTATTGTTTGTGGGCTCCACTGACACGTGGCGACCCGCCACTGGTGCATTTTATATATATATATTTTTTTAGACAAAAAGTAAAAAAAAAAAATTTAAGAAATCCATTAGTGAATTTGTGAGATAAAGATGTCCTTAAGATCCAAAATTACGTTTGTTGTGGAATGACGTCATACCCTTCTACGAACACCACGTCGTTTGTCTTAATTGTAATAGCACGTTTCACCGTTTGGTAATTTCTGTTACTGACAGTTAACTCGTTTTTCCCCGGAAAACAACAGAAAGCACCCAAAAAAAAACAGAACATGAACACCATGTTTGAAAAGTCCAAAGTCAACAAAACTCAAAGAGTACATAACAAGCAAACGTTACAAAAGCTTCCTCCACAATCTTCTTAAAAACAGAACACATCACATCCCTAAACTCTCTTTATAAACCAACATAACAATCTCTTCTCCTCTTCATTTCTATAAACCCTAACACCCAAAACCACTCTTAAACGATGTCTTCTTCTTCAAGAACAAGAACAAAAGCTCCAAGATCAACAAGAATCCGTAGAAACTACGGTATCTCTTCTTCTTCATCAGCTAACATCGTAGCAGATCTCGACGATGTCTTGCTCCAAATCCTCTCCTTTCTCCCAATCAAATCTCTCATCAAATGCAAACGCGTATCAAAACGCTGGCGTTGTCTCATCACAAACCCTAACTTCTCCAACCCCATCATCAGTTCCAAACATCCCCTCCCAATCTCTGGCCTTTACTTACAAGGAACAAGAAGAGACATAGAATACAGATTCGTCTCTCTAGATGATGAAGTCAACGAACAGCTTTCCTTACCATCATCACCACTTCGTTTTGTAGATCATCCAACTCCTATTGTCATAATGCAATCAACCAACGGTCTTCTCTTGTGCAAATGCACTTGTCCTCCTAACCATTTCAACAGAAACTTCTACGTTTACAATCCCACAACGAAGCAGAAGACTCTCCTCCCTCAGATCATCGACCACTTCGCGGTCTCTCTAGCTTTTGATCCTTCAAAATCTCCTCACTATAAAGTCTTTTGCCTCAAAAGAACAAGCACCTCCTCTGTTTCCTCTGTTCTTTACCACCTAGAGGTTTACTCCTCTAATGAAGGACCTTGGAGAAGACTTGCTTCTCTTCCTTCTTTCGCTCTTCCTCATACCGTTACCGGTTTAAGCAATCTAAGCAACACTGTCTTCTGGAACGGTGCGGTTTACTGGTTTTGGTTTGGTCCACACTCGAGAGATTGTCTCTCCTTTGATATCAATACAGAGGAAATCAAGACTCTTCCTCTCCCTTTTCTTGACCACGAGGAGTATCCACCTGATGTCGGCACCTTGAGGTTTGTAGAAGAATCCAGGGGAAATCTTTACTTCATCGAGGTTAATGATCTGAGTTCTTCAGACTTACCTGTCTACGAAATGAACAGAAACGGATCAAGCTGGTTCTTGAAGTATCATGTTGACTTAGAGACTCTTGCAGCAACTTTTCCGGAGATGATCAGAACTGAGTACTACACTTATAGGCGGATCTATTCGTTCTCTATAATTGGTTTTGTGAAGGGAGAGACAGATGTGGAGTCATACATAGTGCTTCACATTCCAAACAAGGCTGTTAAGTACTACTTCATCAACAAGACTTTCAAGAAACTTTGCAGTTTTGAGCCATCCCAAGATGATGATGATGATGATGATGATGATGGTGGTGATAACTTTTATGGATTCCGAAGATCTTTTCAGTTTATTGAGTCTCTTGCAAACGTCTAGAGGACTAGATGTCTTGGAGTTTCCTCAAGACCTGCTTCATGTTTGGTCTAAGAGAAGGTGAAGGAGAGCAACAAGACAATGAAAGCTGAAGATACTTGAGGACACATTCTTCACTTAGATCACTACCATTACTCTTGAGAATCTCAGGACGGTACAGTTTATGATCAAGAACATCATTCCTCATGTATTCAGCAAGATAGATCGCTTCTTTACCAGAGACTAACTCAAGCATGATTACACCGAGACTAAAGACATCACTCTCTTTGCTCACTTCTTTCATTTTTACCAACTCAGGAGCTTTGTATCCCTCAGCTGCAGAAACATCAAGAATCTCTTGTCCTGCTGTTTGGTTTAAGAGAAGATGCAAACCAAAATCAGAGATTCGAGGCTCGAAATTCGAGTTAAGAAGAACGTTCTTGGATTTTAAATTGCCGTGGATGATTGGTTTCTGCATTCCTGTGTGGAGATAATCAATAGCTTTGGATATTCCAGTTGTGATGCTTAAAATGTTACTCCATTTTGTAGATTCTTCACCACCACCTACACACAATATATGTAATGCACTTGAGATTCAAGACTTTTTTCAAATTTTGTCTTAATGTTCTTACTGAACTAAACTAATGAAGTGTAAAGTAAAAGAAAGCTAAACAAAAGTAGTACCGACAAAAGACAAAGCAAGATGCTATGCTATGAGTTGTTTATGCTTTAAAAAAAACTTAGATAAAATAAGATGAAACATTGAATTAAATGATCCAGCTAATGTGTTTAATTCCAGCTATGTGTATGATAATACATTCTTTTTCTTTTATATTTTTATGAATATATATGTATACATTTCTACATGTCTGAACCTAAATGTAACTGCAAACTGTGTATCTCAGATCTTTTCATGAGTTTAGAAGTTTCTAACCATTTTTTCCCGGGAAAATATAATCTCATGATTCTGTTTGGTAATGAAAAAAAAACCCATAAACAAGAATCTTTAAAGATAAAAATCTTTACTTTCTGTCGGGGAAAATAAAAAGTTTGATACTTTTTTTTTTGATTAAACAAAAGTTTATACTTTAAGAAAATAAAGAAAACAGAGTGCTTACTTTTGATGAAGTCGGAGAGATTCCCGGAAACGTAGAAAGGATGAACCATAAGCTTCTCTCCTCTGTTTCCACCATAAAACCCTAACAGAGGAACCAAGTTCTCGTGTCGAACAAACCCAAGCGTCTCGATGACGTCATTAAACTCCTCAGCATCACATCTCACTGTACAAACTGGTCGGAGAAACCTGAGAACTCTAACTTTCCCGCTACGTTGCAAGGAAGCCTTGTAAAGAGTCCCGTAGCTTGACTTTCCGATGACTTCTCCCGGAGCATCGAGGATATCGCAGATCGTTAGATCTTCTCCTCCGTGAAACGTCACGAGCTCCTCTGTTTTTGAGGAGAAGCCTTGTTTGGTATGGACCTTATGGTCTAGTGACTCGACGTCGTATTGATCTTGTTCGGTTGATGAGTGTTTTCTTCTGAAGAAGAAACATATGAAGAAGGTTAAGATCAGTAATGCTGATAGAGAGACTCCGAGTAACAATGTTAAGAGATGGTTTTCTCTCATCTTCTTGAATGTTTTTGCTTCTTCTTTCTCTAGGAGTTAGGTGAGAGGTGAATGATTAGACTTTAGAATATATATTGGAGGAAGTATTTATGAGGAAGGACATGGAAACTCTGGGCTGGCAGATGAAAAGCAGAGTGATTGATAGTGATGGGAGATGAAGTTGATATGCAGAGGACAGGTCTAGAATAGTATTTGGAGTATTTTTAATTTGCCTTTGTACCAATGTTGACTTTTTTATTTCTTTGGCTTTTGTATATATAGGCAAATACAGAATCAGATTTGTCAGTTTATTGGCACATATTCTCCAACTTCTCCACCAATTATGGCCTAATAATTACCAATTTGTATTTTCCTTCCATCTTATACTAGTTCGGGTTGATATTTTATAAACCATACGTTATTTTTTCATCTGAAAGAATTTCACATGGGCATCTAAAATCTTGGTTAAAGAGAGTATGGTTTATTAATGTAAAATAAAATAAAATTACTCCTCAAAATGATGTCTCAAGTAGCACGTTGGTTTCTTGACTTCCTCCAAGGTAATTAATTCTGATCATCTCAAGAAAATAAACGTTGAAAGGGGTGATGATAAATGTTTGGTTTGACTAGTGATGGTTGTTGAAGTGCGTGGGGTACATCTTACATCTTTGATTGCGAGCTTTGTCCGTAAGTTTAGTGTTATAAAAGCAAGATTATCAGAGGTCCTTCCTCTTCCTCTTAGGTCCTTAGTATACATATATGTGTATATATATTATATAGGAGTATATAATTGTGAGTTAATGATTTTATGGAAATCTAAACCAAAAGTTTCTTAATTATGTATATTAAGGACCCTAATACAAGGACTTCCAATAATGTTGCTCTAACCTATTATTACTACTATTTAATGATTCCAAAAGTAATTTAGCATACAAGAAATACTTCTTTTTTTTTTTTGTAACACCATACAAGAAATACTAATTTACCATATATATAGATACGTTCTTGCAATACCAACGAGGATAGAATTGAGAAAATACAAGTAATGTATTAATTAATAATTTGTAGGGATTCACAAGGGATAAATTTATGATATCCAGTATTTGGTTTATGGAGTAGCAATCTATATGGATTCATATGGTTGATTCAACATAAATTTTGTTAATTAAGTTTGCGTAAGACCCAATATATCCGTAGTTTGTGACTAAGTATGATTGTGTTTAGGAGTAAAGACTAAAAATGAAAGATTGTTGAAACTCGACAGTAGACATCACGATTAATCTTTTGTTAGGTGTAAGCTTGTCTTTAAGTTCCTTTAATTAGACGGTTGCCACCGATCATGAAGTTCACTTTCTTTAACGGCTCCGAGTCATACTTATGTTTAGGTCCCACACTCAACATCGCCAATTCGCCATGGACCATGGTTCCATAAGAAGCCTGCCATAGGACCTCCTACGCAATCAAATGCTAACCTCTATGTGGCTGACCTTCTAATACCCGGCTCCTCGGAGTGGAACCTAATAGCTATTAGAGAACACTTGCCTCAGTATGAGGAGGATATCAGAGCTATTATTCCCAGCGACTGCAACATGAAGGACGAATTAGTGTGGTTGTATGACAAATCTGGGACCTATACCACAAAATCGGGATATGCTGCTGCAAAACTCAACTCGGAAGCTGATCCATCCGATCAGTTTGACTGGAAAAAGCGCATTTGGTTGGTAAACACTTCCCCAAAACTTAAACACCTTCTCTGGAAAGCTACTGCAGGTGCCCTACCTGTTGGTTCAGCTATTCAGAACAGAGGCATCGCCACGGACGCAACCTGCAAACGATGTGGTGCACAGGAAACAGAGTTACATGTTTTGCTCCAGTGCCCGTTTGCTTTAAGGGTCTGGAATCAACTGCCCTGTCTGAACTTGCCGTCTGCTCTAACTCAAATCCCAAACTCGGTATCGTCTCTCCTTGACAGCTGCAGCAAAATCATTAACCTACCTCCTACGGGCTTAGGCGACGTTCCCATATTCCCATGGGCTCTTTGGACCTTATGGACAAATAGGAACAAATTACTATTCGAAAATAAAGACTTCTCAGTGGAAGAATCAGTTCTGAAAATCCTACAGGACTCAAAAGCTTGGAAAGGAGCTCAAGAAGCAAAAGAAAATTGCAAATTGCCACAGTGTGTGGAATCTTCTCGACAGCAATCTAATGTGTTATTTCATCCACCCTCTGCTATTTCAGGTACCACCACATGGAGTCTTTACTCAGATGCGGCATGGGACTCAAAGACGGGAGGATGTGGTATGGGATGGCACTTCCGTGACAACACTGCTGCCCCAGCAGGAATATTCTCTTCTCACCGCCAGTTTGTTCCCTCAGCCCTTGTAGCAGAGGCCATGGCGTTTAAGGCTGCAATGCATTCTGCAGTCTCTCGTGGTATTGACTCCCTTCGAGTTTTTTCGGATTCTAAAAGTCTTATCACTCTTCTGAACACCAAGAAGAATCATGTCTGGATTCAAGGAATTCTCTTTGATATTCATTCACTATCAAACTCGTTTAGCTCTGTCTCTTTTCATTTTCTCCCTCGTTTGGAAAACTCTTTGGCTGACTCACTAGCTAAGTCAGCTCTTCTCTCTGTTGTTAACTCTCCGGCATGTGGATGAGCTTTGAACTCCCTGGATCCTATTTTATTAATCAAGTATGTTTGCCCAAAAAAAAAAAAAGAAGCCTGCCCACATCATTATTTCAAATGGTTTACCATCAATGATCTCCCATAGTCATAAAACTAGGGTAATATTTGCTACTGGCGTATATAAATCTGTGTATGTAGCTAATATGTCACGTAAATTCATCCCAAATTGTACTAAGACGTAAACAAAAAATGTTTTTGTGTCGGCACGCTATTTTATCAAATAACAAAGTTTTGCGTACTTGTCTTTGTCTTTCCATTTAATAAAAATAGCAGTTTTGCTCGTAACCAATATCTCAATACTAGTATATAATTTCATCAGAAAACTTTTATTTCGAATTTTATCTACTTCATTAGGCTTCAATTGAAAAGATGGAACATATGAGTTTTCTTGAACATTACATTTTGGCGAAAACTTGCCCAGTGGGAACCAATACCACGTTAATATTAAATGCATGGCCCAAATAAAAATGTACGAAAGAAAGATAAAATGGAGATTGCTACGTGGGTCGGCAATTTTAATTTTATTGTACCAATGTGATCTACATACAAGTGATTCACACACCCTGATAAAACGAAAAAGTACATTAACAAACTTTAAGTTTCATATCAAATGGCTGGGTTTGTTGGAGTATCACTTATCAGTGCAATAGTAGATCCATGTGAATATGTGATGGATGGCCTTCACAATTTTACGATTTAAAGACAGCAAAATAACATTTTTGAAAGTTGTAAAAGAACATCGGAATAAAACTATTACGACTCAATCATATGTTAGCCGGGATTTAGAGGATGGCGACTATCAACTGAGACTGTAATCATACTGATTATTGAGATTAATTACATCATCCACATTCAAACAAACATAATAAAGACCATGTAATAAAAAAAGACGTTGCATTGTAATCACAGTTCATAAGAAAGACCGGGTAGTAAAAAAAAAGAGTAACACTAGGTTCTGTCTAGCTTCTTCTGATATTTCTCCTCTACTCTGCCGTCATCTTCTGAGCCATATTGTATCTTGTGAGCAGCCTCAACACATTCAGCTAAAAACTAGTTTTCAACCTCTCATGTTACTTCCACTGAATCCCATCCGAAAAAGTAAATAAGAGCCCATCTGTAAGAAGAATAAACGATTAATTTAGCTGGTGGGGGAAAAAAATAAGCGTTTTGCAGTATCCATAAGAGCATCCACAACCGTAAGGTTCATTGAAGTTCTTGGCGACAAGGACATTTTAGATTAATCTTTGATATTTCAGATTTTCTTTAAAAAAAAAAAATAACCATTCACGGGCCACAACGTAGTCAATGAGGCTCGTGAACAGTGTAAGCATCAATCCTTACAAAGGATTTTAAGCATTTTTTTTGCACAAATTCTAAGAAAATGGGCTTTACATTTCCTAAGGACTCCCTTAAAAATTCTCATTGCGAATGTCCTAAGATCAAAACCGCACGATCTCATCCCCTAAAATCATAAATTTCAATTTCAGAGATTCGTTTTACATAGGCAAAATCAGAGGTACATGAAACCGAGTGATAAGAAAGCCACCACAAGGAGAAGAAGATTACTTCGGTGGTGTACTCGTCCATGGAGAAGGGATCTAAATATTCATCTTACACACACCCTAATGGATAATCCAAAATGATTTTTTGTGTTACATGACTTCCATCCTTAATTTAACTTCTCGTGCATTATTTTTTCATTTGATCACTGAATTTGAATAATTCTTAGGCCCAGTATTTATATGGGCCGATTTGCTGTACTTGTCTTACTGGGTCCAGAGCTATTTGTTTGACGTAGTAGCTAGACTGTTATCAAACTGTATTATTTCAAATTTTCATCTGTGTTGATCACGATTCACGACCCACGACCATACTGTTTTTGCGACAAGGAAATCACATCGTCACACCACTAGTTTATTTAAATAAATTTCTGCTGTAGTTGCTTTTTTTTTCGAGGAAAAGAAACTGTGAAACGAATAGTAGTACAATCCAATTATTGAAACGCTTTTGTAATGAAGAGAGGAATATAAGAATAATAAATTATGACCAGAGAAGAAGCGATGGGATATCCTTTACTTTTTAGTGCAAAAGTAGGTTAAATTAAATGATAACAAATAAATACTATATTTTAGGTTAACGACAACAGCTATAGTTTTTAATAAACTATTTCATTCCATTTTTAATAAACTATAAACTACACAAATCAGAGATGGTCGATGTAGGTTGCACCGTTGCAGACGTTCAAGACTAGCAAATAATATTGGGAAATTTATTGTAAGAGTTATCTTACAAGTAATTTATTTATTGAAAAAAGGAGAATGTAGTTTAAATTTTCTCAATTAAAAATAGAAGAGTCGGAGATCCATATGAAGCTTTCATATGATTAGAGTGTCAATGGCATGTCATAGTTCTGTCTCTCCTTTGGCTCCACGTTGCATCATTTCTTCATTTTTTTGTCACTTAAATTTATTTTCTATTTTCTTTTAGGATTCACTAGTGCTCCACGACTACTGTCTACGGGTCTCAATCTCTCTTTATCTAGGTCCAACATCAATCTATCAGCTCCTTTGTTCTTTTTCTAAAATGATGATCTTTGGACTGGCCTTACATACTGTTACAAGTCACATTTCATAACATGGTTCTTATTCACACGGTATTAAGAATTGGTTATTACTAATTCACTACACTAATTCATTATAAAACGATTATGGATTATACATGTTTTAGCTAGCTGTGAATGGTTTCCTTGAAAATTCTTGTGCACTTTATAATATATGTTGTTAAATCAATTTTCATTGAATAATTGTATATGCATTGTTAACTCAGATTTATGCTGCCATCAGTTTAAAAGCCATGCAAGGTGATACTAATCTTATATTATATATGCATGATGATAATATCTGTAGATTTCGTATTTTAATTAACATATAATAATGAAAATATCAGATTAGGCGCACCACTGATCGCCTCTCCATCGCGTTCATGTTTTATATGTATCAATCATGCCACATATTATTTTCAACTTTCATTTCAACCCAAAAATGTTTTCAAGTTGCACTTGTACTGATCATGAAAGTAACAACCTAAGCAACAAACATGTCAAAATAATTAATAATATATTTACACGCTTTTATATTTAATTCGGTGAATTTCTCATTTCTTGCTTATAAAAATGCAATATATCTTGGGAAAATTTGGAGAAGTACACTTATATGAGATTTTGATATGAAAACTACACTCTCATTTAATTTTTTTTGAAAACTACACTTTTGTATTTATGAATTGACTAGATTATTCAATCTAGATATTTAAAATTCTTATCATATTTTTTTCATCTTTAATATTAAATTAAGAATTTCAAAAAGAATGATTTTAAAAAAAATCTTAATAATATCTACATAACATCTTATTAAAACATATCTTAAACTTTTGTCTTGTGCGTTCTTGGTATCTTCTAAATGTAATTTGATTTTATAAATTCTTGTTTTCTAATCTTAGCCACATCATTTTATTTTTCAAAATTCAAAAATACATTTGATCTCAATTAAAATTTATTGATAGACTTCTTGCAAGGATGCCTATGTTGGTTGGAAATGACGTGACTATTTTTGAATGGAAAATAAAGATTATTGTGCACTATATAAGATTTATTAAAATAATAATGTATAAAGATAAAATTTATGATAAAGTTTCAAACAAAGATTTTTTAAAAATAATAATTTGCTTCATTCATAATCATTGTATTTTAAATTTTTATATAGTAATATAACATATTTCTTTCAAACATAGATTTATCTTAAACATAAATAATTTTAATAATATAATATTATTATTATTTTGAATTTATACTGTATTTATTAAAATATCTGGATAAAAATGTATTTTTCCAAAAATTTAAAAAGATGATTAGAGTGCAAATTTTAATCTATTAGTAGAATATTTTTCAAATGATCCTGTATATCTTAGAGCAACTTTAGCACTATAGTACATGAACTATATATGTTTCTTAAATACAAAATGTTAATATAACTAAATTATAAATTAACTTTTAAAAATAAAAAGATATAAGTCAATCAGACTATAACATACAAGTTAAGAATTTCTCTGACTGTTTTCAAAGTCCTTCTGTCACCATAAGTCGCATGTCTTTTTCTCACAATTTTGTTACTTTTCAATATTTTTAATTTATTAATGGGAAGAAATTAGTGGAGATATCACCACTGTGGGTGTCCTTAGGTGATTGAGAATTTTTGTTATTTCAGTACTGAATCAATTTGAAAAGATTTCCACTATTAGTTATTTGCATCTGAAAGATAAAACTAACATAAAATAATTCATGAAACTAAATGTTATAATTGTTTTGATAATAATTATGCATGTATTCCACTTATCATCATATATGCGCAAGATTTCATCCCAAACTTATAAAATTTAGCCGTCATTCGAGCAGGACTTCCATCTCTAACCTGTTTTAAAGTTGGCATTGTATTAAGTAATATTATTTGTAAATTAATTACTATTAAACATGAAATATGCATTATGATCCAATACCATACAAATGGTTTGATATGTTTATGTGGGGTAGCTTACTTTTATTAGTTAACTCCGCAAGTTCCGAAGAGACATAATTGACAGATTCTTAGAAACAAAAAACTATAGAGAAGGCCAAGTGAGATATTTGATTAGTGTTAATCCCAACACTGTTAGAAATCAGATAAAATCCGTCCGTCTTCCGTCTGTCTGCGAATTAAATAATTTTTTGATTAAAAAATTGACATGTCTGGCTAGTAAAAAAAAGTATTATACAATACCACATTTGTTCCATTTATTTTTTCAAAACCACCAGGATCCGCAAATAAAATTATAAAAATAATTAATTAATTTATTTTTTATTTAAAATTATATGAATAATATATTATAATTAAATTATATATATATTTGTTAATATTTAAATATTTTTAATGAAAATAGTTTTAAAAAAAAGAATTGTGAGTTGGCATCTGAGAGTTAAATATCTCACTTGAAATTTTAATCATACTCTATGATTCAATTTTTTTCAATTCAATAGATCCGCATCTGCCTCGTGATGGACGAACAGGACAGGGCCCGCAGAGTATGATTAAAATTCCCTGGCCGAAATGTGAGATGTGAAGAAACTAACATTAATAATTTAAGCAAAATGACTTTATTTGAATTATGAGTAGTCTTTAGTGTTACATCTAAAGTGGCAAACAAATAGGATGATGCTGAAAACAACACGTGATGAGTAATTCTAGAATAAATTACATCCAGGCACATTTTTATTATCATTATAAATTGAAATGATATGATTAACCATATTTGTCAATCTATTGTGGTCGGCACGGTATTAGTATTTTTATGGGTCAACTAGTCGGCACTGTATTTTTGTTATGTACTGGCAGAAGTTATTTCATTTGTCTCTATCAAACCATTTGAACAGTATCTCCAAAAAAAGATACAGTCACTAAATTTTAAAGAGTTATACTTATATTGTTATTATTATTTAAATTTTATTGTTTCGAACTTGGTTTTTAAAGTATATTGGCACGAGTAAAGTTAATGCATCATATGGCTTATATATATGCTCATAAACACATGCTTTATTCATTATACAGAAGTAGCTCACTATGTCTTAGTTTATATATTCAACTCTTCCTCTCATCGTTTTCAAATGTTCATGAACATGAAAACAAATAATCAGTTAATCATCTATCATAGTTTCTCAGTTAGCTTCATATTCAAATGCATCAGAGTTCTCCTGAACAGATCTATTGGTCTCTTGCCTTAAATTAGCCGACATTTCTGTTTTTTTTTCTTCTCTCTTATTATAGTTTTCACATCGTTTAAAATTCATATCTGTAAGAAAAAAGAGAAAGAATGTCAAGAAAACCATGTTGTGTGGGAGAAGGGCTGAAGAAAGGAGCATGGACCATCGAAGAAGACAAGAAACTCATCTCTTACATTCATGAACATGGTGAAGGAGGATGGCGTGACATTCCCCAAAAAGCTGGTATATATGCATAATATAAAGTTTTGTATATATGAAATATGTATGGTCTAACTCATGATGCTTGTGTGGCTATTGTGTTTAGGACTAAAACGATGTGGAAAAAGTTGTAGATTGCGATGGGCTAACTATTTGAAACCCGATATCAAGAGAGGAGAATTTAGCTACGAGGAGGAACAGATCATTATCATGCTTCACGCTTCTCGTGGCAACAAGTAAATAATACACTTTGTTTTAACATTATTCCCGCAATTTAAAACTAACAACATTAGTTCAAATTTTTAAAGTAAATGTCATTCTCAAATTTCATCATATTTTGACATGAAAATCTAAGTTAACTTCAAGTCAAATTTGAATATGTTTTAATTAGAATAAAACACCAATCACCAACTGAACATAATGACTTTTATTTTATATATTTCTTATTATTAAACACATGATCAAATTAATTTTTCTATATTATTCTTTTCTTTGTGCGTACAAGGTGGTCAGTCATAGCAAGACATTTACCCAAAAGGACAGACAATGAGATCAAAAACTACTGGAACACACATCTCAAAAAACGTCTGATCGATCAGGGAATCGATCCCTTGACCCACAAGCCACTTGCCTCTAACCCTGACCCAGCCACTCCCAAGACTTCTGACTCAAAATCTAGTAGCCAAGATGAGCAATCACACTCTGCAGGTTCGATGTCTCCAAAATCTCTTCCTCTCTCTTCAGGCTCAAGCAATATACTTGAGATAAGCAACAGTGAAGAGACACCAAGGAACTATGGTTCCTTGAGCCCCAAGAAATCCTGTTTTAAGAAATCGAGTTCAACGTCAAAACTGTTAAACAAAGTTGCAACTAGGGCAGCTTCTCTTGGCAATATCTTATCAGCTTCCATGGAAGGAACCTTGATCCACTCTACAACACTGTCTCCATGTCTCAATGATGGCTTGTCCGAGACAAGTCAATTTCAGATGGACGAAATTGATCATATAGAGGAAGATATCGACGTGAACTTTGATTTCAACAATTCCGAATACGATTTCTCGCAGTTTATGGAGCAGTTTAGTAAAAATTCATTCGAGGAAGCAGGTGACATTTTAGGATATGATCAAGATCTCCTTTTGTCTGATGTCTCATCAACAAGCGTTGATGAAGACAGTATGATGACAAACATTACCGGTTGGTCCAGTTATCTTGTTGATGATTCCGACTTTTGTTATGCCACGAACCAAGACTAGTGGACAAGAACTTCATATGTTGCTCATAGTCTATAGGTTTACTATGTAATAAATAAGGGTTTCTCTTAACTAGTGATCATGTAAACTCGTGGATCAGTTAGTATCTGATTTACGGGAGATGCGAGTTTTTTAAATAAAGCTTGTATTTGTATATTATTCTTATTAATAAAACAATGTTTTGTTATTATTTTCTTTCTTAATATAATGTCGATTTAAAAATAATTTACAAAATGTCACTATATATTTTTAAAGTAAAATTTCAAATGAAAAAAATAATTGTTTTCATTCTAATTCAGTTTCTCGAGCATTATTTGAAGAGGATGATAATTAAAAGGTATTATAAGAAATTAAAGTAGATCATAAGATTGAACTTGTATTCAGAAATCCATTTATATAAATTCATACAACCTCCAAGCCACTGGTTAAGAACATAAGGGTGATAGGTGGAAACCATCTTCAAATATACAACAAAAGTTCTGTAACATAAATAGAAGGAGGGTTAAGTCGATGATGAGTTTTTTTTTTTGGAAAATTTTATATATTAAAACAGAAGTTATAATTTAGTTTATGTGTGATTTTTTTTAGTTTGGTCCAACTTTTAGAAAATTATTTTAGTTATATTATGTATAAATATATGAATTATTTAAATTATTTTAGAATAAAAATTAAATAGATATTCTTATATTTAATGCGGATCAAGATCTAGTGGTATACTAGGATGCTACTCTTATTAGAAGCTAACATGGTTATCATCAAATAAACAAGACATATAGATAATTAATTAAATCATAAACTAGCGTGGAGAAAAAGGATTAGAATCATAAACGACTGTGCAAAGGGATTAGCTTTAATGTTACAGCAAAATATCTTAAGAAAAGTTCAAGTTAAATTTCCACCAAATATTTTTTTAATAAGACGATAACATTAGTATAAGCTAATGTTTATTCATTTGAATAATCTGCCGACCATATAATGTACAACTTCTAGGAAGACAAAAAAGCCATACTGTGATACTGATAAAGTTTTTTTCTTTGGTATATAAAGAGTTTTATAGCTATTCTACAAATGAGCCCTATTTAGAAAGGCTATTAAAATTGTTTTAATTTATATGTAAAGTATTGCGATCTTTCATAATCGATCGTGGGGCAGACCGCACCATCCTTTTCTTTTCAATATAATTTGAAATAGCAAGATACGAATACCAATATAAATGAATAAAACAAACAAGAAAAAATGATGTTCCCAGTTTGTGTAAATATTTGGTCCACAAATACTTCATTATACTCGAAAGCTAAAGAGCAATAAGAGTAAACATACTGTCTTGTGCAAACAAAGCCACTTTTAGTAAAAAATTCATTGATGTTATCATGGTTCATAATATGTGATTCAAGAGCGTTGGTTTTCATGTGGCTGCTCGTCAACGACTTTAATTCCTTTATTTCTAAATATAAATATTTTTTAATTATTTGGGGATCAAATGATACTTGCATTAACTATTAAACTATTGGGAACAATAAACGGATGTTTGTGTCCATAACCGACTCTGCATATATGATCTATTAGGAAGATAATCATAGTGTCATATGGATTAGCTTCCAAGTTGTGTTTATCTACTTACGATAATATTTATGTTAGAGATAGGTACTATAAGTCCTAATACCTTGCGGACTAAGGCAATCCAATTGTTGTATTTAAAGAGAGCGTTTGCTCATTGTAAATCAAGTCAACAGTTTACAAGTCTTTTGTTTCTTACTTTACATGATCGATTAATAAAGTTCAAAAAGAAAAAAAGATCAATGATACCTTTAATACATTAATACCCACCCAAGAATCGAAATTACAGTATAAAACTTATAAATCACCTTGGAAATAAATAATTATTGAATCCTTGTTTTAGATATTTACTAGAAGACTTATTAAATCTAAAAGCGCCAGAATCGTGTAGCTTAGATAAAACACAACAGCTTAGATAAGATATGCATTAGAGAGACAATGTTAAAATATTTTTTTAATTATCTACATAACATCTGAATTAGAGACCAATGATAAAAGTGAATCGTCGAAGAGCCTAGAGGGAGGGACAAGGCTGTGAAGACGAATGGATGATCAGCCCAAAAACGTGCACTATATAAAGATTCTGATTACCTAACCTCCTTCCTGTGACTTTAAAACATGTCAATTTCTTGCCTTTATTTTATTTGGATCAACGAACTATTTCTCTACAAAACTATTATATATCATCAAATATTTTTCAAAATTATGATAGTGCTTCGACCCGCAGTGATAGCTTCTAGCTAGTTCAGTGTCAGAACTTGATATCAGTGTTTCATTGTCGCGGTTTAGACCAAAAAACATTGTGACTGTTTTCTATTTATCTTCGGAATTATATGAAATGATTGAATAATGGAATAACGTTTGTAAAGAATGAATACATTTATTAATAATTTTATTTGGTTATGTAGTATGCTTTTAACAAGCAACTGCTTATACGAAAATCTTCTGTTTGACATTTTACCAAATATTAATTAGAGAACATGTGGTAATGGATATGATAGTCTTGATGTCTTGAATCCATCATAATCTCAATATTACGTATAATTGAATTAATTTGATTAATCAGCATTTTTGTATTAATTTAAACATTTAATTAAAAAAAATATTTTTTTCATCAAATACTTCTTATAAAGAGTTCAATTTGAAAAAGAAAAAAATATATTTTCCTTAGAGCATCATTATCGGGGTTGCTAACCCCGTTGCTTAGCTTAATTTTCATTAAAAAGAAAAAGAAAAATAGAAAAAAAAGGAAGGCATGTTGCTTAATATAGCTTCACAAGCGGCGTTGCTTGGAGACAGGTGTCGGCGTTCTCGGCATCTCTCTCTCTCTCTCCCTTTGGCCTTCTCTGTCTTGATTCCTGTTGGTAACTCGTCACCCCTCCACAGCTTCTCCGC